ACGGTTAGAAAAAAGCTTAGTATGTATGAAATGGAAGCATCATACCATGGAAAATGCTTGAACAATTTTATCCACTTGTAGCGTTGATCAAAAAAATTCACTAGTTCACTAGGCTCACATGTTAATTTTTGTTTGATGCAATAAATCTCATTTGTGCACACTTTCCATGAAAAAAATCCCTATTTGTTACAAATTGAAAAATATTTCTTGGGCCCCATACTGTTTCTAAAATTTAATTTCTTATCGCATGAGCATGGTAAATTAAAGATTTTCTGAATACTGTGAAAAATGGCATCTAAAACAAATGTTAGCCTAGTTTATTGTAATGTCAGTTGTTGTTAGGTTACTATTTACTTTACTTCACCATTCCACTTCTTTCACACCTTCTCTTTATTATCATTTTTCTTGTCCACATCTATTTTATGAAAAAACAATACGTGGCTTGAACAAATTTATTAAAAATACTGCATAAGTTCTATAATTGTATTAGAAAAGGTATCTTTGAAGTGACAATACTGAACCAGGTCATGCTCACATTGCAAAATTATGAACTTCTACTTTACTGGAAATGGTCAAAGGAAAAACAGTTTGCTAACCAGACATCATTTCATATTGCTTAGACTTTAACAGGAAAGTTGTATTTCAAAGAAGCTATGGTGTCACTTTTCCAACTTCCTGCCAAGGGGAAAGACTATTGACTGTTTACAGGTGCATGAAATTTTGTGGAATCATAGCATTATAGAAGAAAAGAAAATATTACCGTTGACACTTACCTAAATCACTACCCAAATATTTTACCCACTGACCCCAGCAAATTCGGTCATAAGCAGTTTATCATGACTACTAACTATTGAAAATTTCAACCTAAATGAGACGCGATGGACAGGCTAACAGGCACACAAAAATTATGCAATTTAGAACTTTTCCTTTTTATTTCGATAAGCCTAGAGGGGGGAAGGGACTAACCTAAACACACGTGATCTGGACACCTAAAACACTGTGACAGCAGAAGTTCGGAAGGTTGGGAAAAGTAATTCATTATTTTGGTTGTTTGATCACTTTAAAAGCATCAGCCACGTTGTCAAGATTAATATAGATTAATATAGATTAATTAAGAACTATCCACTTACCATGTAATCAGTTTTATCCTTTCCAAGACAATTGGTAAAAAAACGAACACTTCGTATAATAATTATTACTAAATAATTCGGAAGTTCTTATCTTTGCAGTATCCACTAAAAAGTTAGTGATTCCAATGTCTTCTCTTGACCAAAATCTTTGTTTCTCCATCCTTCCGACATGAAAGGGTCTGGGTACGAGACTAGTTTGACACTTTTAAGGGACTATTTATTATTTATCGCCGGGGGATGGAGGATTTTAAGGATTACATGGTTTTTAGGGAGAACGTTTGGGAATTATCCGTCGCTAACAGAGTTTAATTAAAGGCGGGACCATAGTAAATTGATTGCCAATTAACTGCCAACGAGGCGTGGGGGAGGGGAGATGGAGGGTGAGATCCTCACAGGTAAGCCGATTTAAAGTCAATTGTTGTCGGTAGTTAAATAAAAACTGTTTTATTTCTTCTTTTTCGCTTGTTTCTCTGTTGACAGTCACGGTATCTGCTGAGACTTCAGTCAGTGCCTCCCAAATATTAATTAGGCATTATTATCAGCTGAACCACGAGTGAGTTAGAGGTTAGGGGCTTTTATGCTCCAGTGATTAACTTTCCTATTAATATAATCCGTGTATAGAATATATGCTATTGATTTTAACGCTTTTAGTTTCTGTAACAGCGGGAATGGTTGACGTTAAAGTAGTGAAAATGTTTGCCGCGAGGTATTTAGAAGATGGATCTGGTAAAGGAAACACATAGGAAAGTGCATGAAGACAGCAGAGGGGGGCTGATGACCGCTTGGAGAAGGTCAGCGTACAGGGGATGAAATCAAGTCAGGTGAAAGAAGAAGGGTGCGGCGAGGGTGGCGACACAAAATCTAGTGATGATGACCTTATACGCCCACTGGTGCGGTGAGATCAAATCGCAAAGATGGTGATGATGACAACAAAAAATCTTGGTTTATCTTTGGATTTTTGTTAAATTCAGTCAATTTAACAACTCAGGGGGATGTAACTTAAAGAGTTGAAGCCTCAAAATAATTAACGTAGGCCACAATGACTGGTATTTGTGCGCGCTTCGCTATCCCGTATAGCCTCATTCTCTACTGGTTCGCCGACTTCTAACCCTCAACACCACAACACCACTTTGTATATTCTTCATGCTGTTCTCTACATATTTCCGAAGGTGCTGACAAGGAGAATTTGTTTAACAATCAAGAGGTTTTTCAGTTGATGATATTGCAGGGAGAAATTAGGTACTAGTCATTCTTAGGAGTTAAAGGGTTAACAAATAGAAGGAAAGTACTCTCTTGATTTTCATCGGGTAGCCAAGGAAACAGATCTAACCTGAATCCTTAAAAAATCCTCTCAAGCTTATAATTTTCACACCAGGATTTCAAGCTAAAAGTTGAACTATTTTGAATCCTGCCTCTCTCTCTCTCTCTCTCTCGGTCGCTTGCCCAAGCTACTGATCTGCGAGGGAAGGGCCTCTTCGATAAAATGGACCACAGTGGTTAAGTTCATTCTCTCTCATGTTGGCAGCTTTTACAGAGAACAAGGTTTTCTTGACAAGTGCATGACAAAGTTGCTAGCGTCAATTCATGGGACTCAATTCATTGATTTCAGGACTGATCTAAACAACAAACAAATTCGCACGTCATAGAAAATTACCTTTGTTTATTCAATTCCTACAAAATGTTTAAAGCTTTACTTAACATTCACAAAAACATAGAATCCACTGTATCGAGAGAGTCTGGAAGCTGTACTCTCTGTAACAAATGGTTTCACATTAAAATAGTTCATGGCAAACGTGCAAATTGACAATATTAATCTCTACTTAAATAGTTTCTTGAAGATTCACATACAAACTCTACACTTTTTCAAGAAATATTATTGTCCCAAAAAGGTTTAACTTAGTTTGCTCTCACATTCTTCAAGAGCTATATTACGGGCGAAACGACCAGAGCGTTGTAATGCACTCAGTGAAAAGCTTAAATTGCCTGCGAGAAAATGGAAGTGTATTATAAAAAGCGCCCAATACAAAAATGACGGTTTTTCTTATCTTAGTAAAATTACGAAAAATTAAGTTTACGAAATAGAACGACTGCGTGTTTGTGGTCGTTGTTAGCTTTTCATATAAACGAAGTTAAATGAAACAATATCATACCACATAATTAAATTTGACTCTCTTTAAGAGCATTAAATTAAATACTTTCCTAGCTTGATGAAGACAAAAAAAAAATAATTTAAGACTACCTATTAATTCGCTCTGCCTATTCAAATTCGCTTCGTTTCAAACCAAAAACAAAAATGATTTGAAAAACAGTTTTTTCCTTTACTTCTTCGGACCTTTCTTTTCTTCTCCGTTCTTTAACTTTGTTGTTTCAGGGCTTCTCGTTGTACTTTTAGTCATCCCAGAACTTTTCGTCGTTCCTTCTTTGGCTTTGTGAAGACTCTCCCTGCTACCTCGCACATTTTCCCGACTTCCGGTTCTTGCCATTCCAGTCGACTTAGTAGCTGATTTAGACGCGGCCGAACCTGGACGATCCGGAGACCCGCGAGACGAGGTGCTGCTTGGGCTTGAGGGGATTCCCGAAGATACCCGAGGTGAAGTGCCCTCCGAAGAGTCCTCGAGCGATCCCGTACTACCAAGTGACGTCTGACTGTCAGATTTCCTAACCCTTGATACGCCACTAGGTCTCTTCGTGGAGGGGACTTTTCAGCCGTCCCCTTTAAATTTGTTCCGCTTCTCTGTTTGGTGGGACCACTTGGTGGCCGAGGTTCTCCCGACTTTTCACGACGAGGCCGAAGTTCACGGATTTCTCTCGACGGAGGCCGTAACCACTACTCGGAACGTCGAGCCTAGGTTTTCGACCGAGACCAGTGGGCGGTTTTTCCGTGACCACTGTCGACTTCTGTTCCGAGTGTCGTTTGCTTGTGAAGGCTCCCATGGTCTGTGTGACGCCTTCAGGTCTTGACAACTGTTCTCTAAGTTCTACATTTGTTCGTCCAGTAGCTAAAGGAAAAATATGACACAATGAGATCAACATGCAACATCTCCTTAATTGTTCAAAAACAGATTGTCCTGCCAGTATCATTGAAAATGTAGAGAAGAGTATGAAGAATACGGAAACTGATGTTAGGGTGTAAAGGAGTTAAAAAGTCTTTGGTCGGCAACAACCTGTTTAGTTGTGGTAGGTTATAGTTTCTTTGCCTCTAAGTGCTTTTATTTACCTTTGCTGGGTTCGTTCTTTAGAAGGAATTCTTCCAATGTTTCCCAGCCTCCTCCGACTCGTACCATGACAGTACTGCGAAGGATACGAACCAAACGCATCTTCTGGGAGTCACCGAACTGTAAGAGATGACAAAACAGACGGTTAAATATAAAGTAAGCAGTGGTGATTGGTGATCAGTTTTCGGTGTGCGGCAAGATCTGTGAGCAAGCATACAGAAAACTACTCTTACCGCGGTCACAGGATAAGTATAAACACAACCCTGAGGAAAATTCTCCTTAACGAGTTGCTATGTTGCATCGCTTGACAAAGTTATAATTAAAGAATTTTGCATATTTACTTCGTAATATCTTGAAAATCTACAAAATTACATCGTACACCACTTCGCTATTGAACTTTCTGATGCGAAACGAGCAAACAACCAATCAGATTGCGCATAATAGTATCAAGCAAACTGTCCAATGCTGAGAGAGTAGTTTGGTGGGATGTGACGAAATAACCAAGGAAATAAATCGGCAAAGTGGTGAAAGAATTGTGAGCTTGGAAAGCTAAATATTAATTATTTAAGGGGGCTCTTACCCTGTACTTGTTCTCGGCCACTTTGACAAATGTCACGCCGCACTTGCGACACAGGCGTTCAATTTCAGACTGAATCTATTGTTCTTCAGTCTTTGGCTTCTCTGGCTTCTTAGTCTGATGAAAGGAATAAGTGTCAGACCAATAATTATAATTACACACTCTTGGTGAATACTGGCCCCTTACTGCAACAACGTTTCCTAGTTTCAGTGGCACGAAGCGGAGAGCTAGTTTAATTTAAGGGAACCACCTAAAATCTGCTAATTTTCACTGACAGTTTTCTGGTACCCTTCTATATTCCCCTGTGGAGGAAGAAAGTCTAGAAGTTAAGTGTCTTCTTCCGGAACACAACACAATAAACCAGCCGAAGGCTTGGGGCCAGAACTTTCTATCTAGAAAGCACGCCCGCTGACCACAAAGCCCACGCCTCCTAACAAGATGTGCCACAATTCCCCTTTTAAATGTCATGAGTTGAACTGGTAGGAAATGGTGCTTACTGGTTTTTTATCCTTAAGCGAGTTTACGAATTCTTTGTAGTCGATCAGTCCATCACGTTCAAATTTACTGGCGACTATTTCCATCTCCCATCTCTCTGTTGGGAAACCTGGAAAACAAAGACAGAAAGGGTGTTACTCCAAACATGTCACGTTTTATATTAAACAGTATGTCACGCTTAGCTTAATAAGTATGTCAAAAAGTTAAGGTGGAACAATATGTCACGCTTACATGTGCTGAGCACTCCTGAGATAAACTGCTCTCTGGTAAGCTTGCCATCTCGGTCTTGATCCATGCGGCGGAAGATGTCAAGAACGCGTGACTTGCTGTCACGCAGCCATTTGTTAAACTGTGAACAAAAAAGAAATTCATCAGATCAATAAAACGACAAGAAGTAACTGGAATATTACGTGCGCATATCTTGAAAAAGAAGATCTATCTTTACAGTAAATTGTTCATAATCTGTTTGATAAACTTACCCTACTCTTCCACTCGTTGAAGTCAAACTTCGCCGAGGCTCGTCTCTGCAAAAGGAAAAAAATTGAATATTTGTTATGAAAAAAGAAGAAATAATAAATTTAATATTGAAAATTGTGTACCCACTTATTCAGGCAGATTGAGAAAATGTCACAACAGCTAGATAAAAAGAAAAAAAAGCGGGGAAAAAGCAGCGATTCATTGTGAACTTTAAGGAAAGGCATCGCTAAATAAGCTTTTTTTCGCGAGGAAACAAACTAAATCAAAACAGCGTGAATCACGCCTTTTTATTTTCCTGAGTGATGCACGACTGAATCACAGTAACGTTACTTACGATGGCAATTCGTTCCAGCTTCTCTTGAAGACGTCGCAGCCTCTCCATCGAAAGAAGCCACAAATGCTGCCATCGTTTGGACAAGTGCAGCAAAGCTGGATGATTCTTATCAAGTGTGGTGGAACCAGACCGAGTGAACGAAGAGCCTGGGCTGGTGACCAGCGTCAACTTCTCGCGTGACCGTTCGCGAGTGAAGGACGGAGAAGGACTGGAGGTGAGTTTAGGTATTCTGCTTCCACGCCGACCTTGCTTGTCCGGAGTGGTCTGAGCTTGGACTGGGGCAGCAGAAACAGCGGTAGGCGCTACAGAACCACGTCGTTTTACCGACTTGGTGAGTCTGTCGTATGTTGGCTGTTTCTTGGCCATTTCTTCTTGAAAACCTTTGTGGTCTTCCAACAGCGTCATAACTTGCTCGTAATCATCGTCAGGGATAGGCTCATTTTCCTTTTAGATCAGGATTTCTTCTTTCTCTCCAATCCACTGCAGCAGTTCCTCCATCATGCTTTGCTCCTCTGTCAGCTTAGATTGTTCTTCCTCCAGGCGAGTCAATCTTTGAACTGACCATTTGCGAACCTGGAAAAGAGACAGCCAACTGTTTGTTAACTATCCAGTTACAGTCAAATTACACCAGCAGGTTTCTTTAACAAATGTTCTTTAGAAAAAATTTCCCTTAGCAGTGAAGGTTAAACAATATGACGAAATTTCCTTTGGCAAGTCACCTTGTTGAGAACCTGACTTGCCAGTTTTTGGAAAAGGAGAATTGTGAAGGAAAAACTTTTCAAGGAAAAAATTTGCTGGTGTAGATGACTTAACTTGAAAAGGACACTTGTCACGAAGATTTCAGGAAAATTCTGCTCCACCTTAATTCTTTGCCACTTTAGACAAGGAAAAAGTTTTAAAGGAGGAAGCTCTAACGTGTCCACACTCACAGACAATATTACCGACGAACGTTTCATAGCGAATAGCTCTGTTTTACAGCTCGTATTCAAATGTACAGATTCACTAAGTCACCTCATCCCATCGTTTCTTTAATCTTGCAATCCATTGCTGAATGATTGGCAGTGCGCTTGGATGACAGAATCGTGCAATCACTTGGCCCTTCTTAATGGCTGATTGAACGTTCACTTCCTCTGCCATTAGATCTTCGTGGAAAACCTACCATGGACACGAATCCAATGAATTGTTAATGTGGCAAGCTTAACGGACCTACACTAAATCTTTGTACAAATAAAGGCAAACTTCGCGATCGCACAAGGAGCTAAGGCAAATGTTAGAAAACCTTTGAAATTCGGAAATCGTCATGACTCGTAAAAAGAAGGGCCACTTCTCATAAATTGAAAGTTAGCCAGCGGTGTCGTATTACTTCGCACGTACCTTGTGTTCACTCAGTTGATCAGCAATAGTCTCTAAGTCGGCAATTGGACCCAGTCCCCTAAGCGTATCTTCGAAGTCTTTCAGTATGCGTAACTCTGTCTTGACGGCAGTGTCGAACTCCTTCGCCAAAACGAGCGCATTGTCGAGTCTACCAGATGAATTAAATGAAGAAATTAGTTATCTGTGAGTGGGTAGTGTGAACAGTATGCAATTTTGCCAGAAAGGTAAAATGTCAAAATATGCTTCTTTTTTAGCAGGTAATTTAGTGTTAACAACTGGGTTGAAAACGTAAATTAGCCACCGTAAAGGGTAAAAAAGCTGACGTTTCGAGCGTTAGCCCTTCGTCAGAGCGATTAGAGGAATTGTGGGTTGTGTGTGGATTTATATGTAGGAAGTGGAGCTACGCCATTGGTGGGAATGTGGTGACGAGAAAACAGGAATAAATTAGTTGAATGAAAAGCGCTCGTTGATTCCGTGGGGATTGAGGGTGCCGATTTGGAATATAAATTTTTGTTCTAGTGTTTTACGGCTTTCCGAACTGCCTAGATGTAAGGAAAGGCCGCAAACTGCCATATGCTGTTTAGAATGATAAGGAAGATTAAAGTGTCTAGCGACTGGTTTGGATGCGTCCTTGTCATTTCTTTCCACATCGCGAAGGTGTTCTCGGAATCGGTCACCCAGTCGTCTTCCTGTTTCGCCGATGTATAACTTATTGCAATAAGTGCAAGTTATGCAGTAAATAACATTGGCGGAGGTACACGTAAAGTGATCAATGATCTTAATGGATCTTTTGGGTCCCGATATTTTCTCTACGTTATAAATGAAAGGACAAGTTTTGCATCGTGAGCGAGCGCATTTAAAAGTTCCAGATTGGTCACAGGTTTGAAATGAACTCCTGACTAAAAAGTTGCCTATGTTTTTGTCGCGTTTGAATGAAATAAGTGGGGGTTGCGAAAAGATAGTGCCAGTCTCTGAATCGTTTTGGAGTAATTTAAAATTTTTAAGAATGATAGATTTAACTGCGTGGTTGTGAGGGTGAAATGTAAGAGTAAATGGAATGCGGTCAGTGTTCTCCTTCTCGGCCGTTTGTAGTGCTGCCTGTCGATCGATTAGTTGGGCACGGTGGTAGCCCGCTTGAACGACAGAAACAGGATAGCCGCGTTTATCGAAAAAAAACTGGCACATTGCCTCTGATTTTTCGGAAAAATCAGAGTCGTCACTACATAAACGGCGAAGTCTGAGAAACTGTGAAAAAGGTATGGAGTTCTTGACGTGTGATGGATGTGAGGATGAATACAACAAGTAACTATGTGAATCTGTAGGTTTGTAGTAAACACTAGTACATAAGCCGTTGCCTTCAATTGAAATTTTGATGTCTAGAAAAGCTAAAGAAGTGTCGGAAATTTGCCAGGTATATTTAAGAGCCGGATGAAAGGAATTGATGGCGGTTATAAATTGAGTGAGCTCCTCCTTGGTAGAGGAGGTAGCGCCGATGCAATCGTCAATGTAGCGGCCGTAGAGTTGAGGTTTTGGGCCGTGGTATTGGCTAAAAAATTGGTGTTCGATAAAACCTACAAAAAGATTGGCGTAGCTGGGTCCCATTTTAGTACCCATGGCCACGCCATTAGTTTGTTTGTAGTAGTTACCACCGAATGAAAAACAATTGAGTGTGAGTACTAGTTCGGCCAGACGGAGCAGTGTTTCAGAGCTAGGTTCTTTAACAGTGCGTAGATCAAAAAAATGTTTGAGGGCCCGGAGACCTTCGTCATTGGGAATGACAGTGTAAAGAGATGTTATATCCATGGTGAAAATAAGTTTGTTTTGGTCGAGGAAACTAAAGTCACGAAAAATTTCAAGTGCGTGTTGGCTGTCCTTAATGTAAGACGGTAGAGTTTTGACGATAGGTGCCATAATTTTGTCTAAATAGCTGGAAATAAGTTCAGTGGGACAACTGCAGGCAGAAACGATGGGTCGACCTGGGTTGTTAGGTTTGTGGATTTTAGGTAAAAAGTAAATACATGAAGTTCTAGGAGTAGTAATGATGAGATTTTTAGCAGTGGCCGGCAATTCTTGTTTAGCTATAAGATCGTTAATCGTATTTTTGACAATGTTTTGGTTAATTACAGTGAGGTCTTTGTCGACTTTGGCATAAAAGGAGGTGTCAGAAAGTTGCCGCAAAGCTTCTTTTTGATAGAGGTCGGCCCGCCAAACAACAACTGCGCCGCCTTTGTCGGCCGCCTTAATGACAATGTCTTTGCGTTTTTTTAGATTTTTTAGTGCCGACCACTCTTCCGAAGAAAGATTGGAAAATTTGGTGTTACGATTGAATTTAAGTTTGTTGAACAAAAATTTCCCATATCACAAAAAACCGACGAATTTTCAGTTAAGCAAGACATTGAAAAATTCCTTCGCCGCGTTCAGTTGAAAGCCTTTTTTCATGACAAAGAGGATGATTCTAACACCTCGAACAAAGATACTTTCGAAACACTCCAGTCTAAATGGACTCCCCCAGAGGGCCAGTTCTCATCTTTAGATTTTTTCCTCAAAAAATGTCGCCACGATATCAACAAACTTAAATTCAATCTTCAAATTTACCCTTTACGGTGGCTAATTTACGTTTTCAACCCAGTTGTTAACACTAAATTACCTGCTATACTCTCCCACCGACGCAGCACCACAGTTTCTTTAGAAACTTACCCCTTGCTTCTTTTTTAGTCGACTTAAAAAGCGTTACCTATCTTGTTTAGTGTTAGATAAGGCGCTGATGGCTTCCCAGCGCATGCGCAAGTCATCGAGCCTCTCTTCCAGTTTGTGCGGGTCCTCCACTTTGTTCTCATTGATCATTGTTCTACCTGCATTCATTACCGAGTCGTAATTTGCTTGGCGGCGTCCGAGCTCGCGTTGGAAGGTCTGCAAGATTGGAACAAGTACACTGTTAGAATGTGAATATAAGAGATCCTCGCAGCTAAGAAAACTACTGAACTGGTAGTTGAAATAAGACCTGAAAAAAATTTTCAGGCTCGTACGGGATTTGAACCCATGACCTCTGCGATACCGGTGCAGCGTTTTTGTCTCGGTCAGTAGCATGCGTTCTTTGTGTACAAATCTGTCATGCTAAAAACCGCGAGTGAATGTCCTATGCTTAGTAAATTTTCTTAAACGATTCTGATTCGGTTCAAGTATGCTCGAAATCCATGTTGCATCCCTAACCTTGTGATTGTCAATTAAGATCTGTACAGTTTCAGGGTCACCCATGACGGCAGTTTCAGTGGAAAGACTAGGCTCCACTGCACTGAGCCAGTCAAGCAGCGACTGCAGAGCATCCTGGAACATACCAGTGAAGAGGAGAGCCTCCTCTAGTTTTTGTTGTCTGAAAAGGGAGTGAAGCAAACATAAGTCATCATATAAAAAGAAACTGTTGAGCTAATTGTTTTATTATTAAGCCTTAGACCTCCATGATACTAAGTGTTATATGTAACTAACCTTTCCACTGATAGCGCGCAGATGGCGTCCCATCGTGCCTTGAGGTCAGCTATCTTTCCTTCGATAATAATGGCGTCATCTCCAGGACTCTTCTCCATCAACACTTTACCCGTCTTAATGATTCCATCCATTGATGTTTGGTTGGCACCGAGCATGGATTGGAACTCCTGAGAGATAAGTAACAACATTGTCAAAAAGCTGCTTCATTCTCTATCATCTGCGACCCGTGCAAGTTGTCGTTTTATCGATTTATATTCTTGTTCCCTTTCAGCTTTTTTTTACCACCTTCACCCCTAAATCCCTAGAAGTGATAAGCGTCCGACGTCTGCCGACACTTCTCACCCCTGAATCACACCTTAAGCTCATGTGAATAAAGGAGATGATCGCGAACTAAAGAAAGTCTTGATTGTTGTACACATTCTCCTTGTAAGGTCCACAGGAAATGATTAGAGAACAGTATGGAGAATATGCATACTGATGTCAGGGTGTACAAGGTTAACAAATAACTATTTCGACGTTTTATTCTGTTGAACGAAACTCTCTACGACGTGAAAAATGACCCAAAATAAGGTAATGCTGCTCTTTTAGCACAAAGGAGACAAAAAAGTGAAAAAAAAAGACATTCACAAACCTTGTGTTTTTTAAGTTGGGACCTCAGGTGAGCGGGGTCCACCCCAATAGGTTCCTCATCTTTAAGGCTCCGCTCAGCTTCGTCCAGCATGTTCAATAGTTCTTCAGCACCTTTGAAGAACTTGTGCGACAGCTTGTAATTTTCATCGAGATCTTTCTTTCTACCCGAAGATAGACCTGTCAGCTCTTTCCAGCGAGCGTCCAGGTCACGGATCGTATCATCGATGTAAGTCACGTCCTCCTGGAGACACACATCTGTGATCTTGAATGCCAGTACCTTGAGTTGTTTGAACGGGTCACGGTGTGCGTCAATGTCCTCTTTGAGATCCTTTAAGGGAAGAAGGACCATTTAACTCTTTGACCCTTGACCCAAATTCTCAAACTCAATATTTAGTTTTTCCATCAGAAAGAGGTAACTTTTTCAAATTTAGGAGGACGATTGTTGGGAATTTTTTTCAAACATTATTCTTGAATTTAGTAAAACTTTTGAACGACCTTCGTAGGAAAAAAAGAGCAAATAAAAAGGAAGAAATCTTTTTCGAAGACCGTTTCTATCAACTGCAGTAAACTACTTAAAAACTTTTTCTAGGCAAAGAAATAAACAAAAGCTTAAAAAAAAGGAAGAGTTTCATTTGAAGGCTGCAGCTCCATTAGGATGTCATGATACTTCAGCTAGCGCGTTTAATCATCTCTTAACCCTTTAGCTCCCACAAGTGATAAACATGTAACCTCTCTATAATATCCATACATTATCCAGCAAAAAGGTAATATACTAAAACTAATCAAGTAGAAGTCATACAAAATTCTTGTAATTAATTTACAAGGAAATGTATAACAGCTAGAGGGGAGAATTTACCATCTGATCTTGGGAGTTATAGGATTACAAATATCACTCAAGTAATGTGTCACCATTCCATTTCCCTTTCATACCTTGTATTCCTGTCGTTGCTTTTCCAAATTGTCTAAAATGCAGCTGACATTATCAAAGGACACTATTTGACCATGAACCTGCGTGAGCCAAGAGTCCATATCTGTGATTTGTTTCTCTAATTCCACTGCATTCTTGAGCGCGTCATCCAACTTACGGCCTTCCTCGTCAGCCTTTGTGCTCACTTGTTCCCAGGCTTCTGTCAATTCATCCGACTGCCTTTGAAGGGAGGCTGCTGTGGTAGGATCGCTGTTCTTTATCATGGCTTGGACGGCTTCAGTGATTCGTTGGTATGTTTCCTTACGTTTTTCAAGTACGTCTAGGAAGTCCTGTAGAAGTAAAGGGATCATTGACATCGTCAATAAAAAATATTGCCTGCGTGGTTCGAGTGCAAATCGTTCCCGGTTTGTTTATCTATTGCAGTACATCTTAAAATTTTTAGTTCAGTAGCAACTGGTTTATTCTTGCGCGAGTGATGTTTTCTCTACTCCAACAAAGTAGATTATCAAGGATTTTTAAACATATTCATATTATGTTTTCAAACCCCTGCAATGAATCAAACTATCGTTCAAACCCGTAAGTAAGAATTTAAGGCATTTATTTCCCAAAACAAACCTTATGCTTGGTCAGTTGGTTACGAGCACTCTCAGGGCGCCCGCCAATTTGTCTCCTGGAGTCAAGGAAGTCACGTCCCTCATTCAGCCAAGTTCTCAGTTCCTTCATCTGGTCCATGACGTCATGAGACGCGCTTAGGGCAGCTGCGAGGTGGGCGTCTAAGCGGGCTGCTTTGTCTAACACCTCCTGCCAGCCGTCCTGTAGTTCCGTCATCTTCATCTGCAGGAAACCACTATCCAACTTGCTGTCTCCATTTTCCGTCAGCAGGGAAGAAGCCGCGCGCGTCACGGATTCCACAGATGGTTCGTGGGCCAAGATGTCATTGTAGAGAATCTGAAGACGAAAATCGCGGAAGTAAATATCTCTCTGAGTGTCCTAATAACTATAAGCAGTTAAGGTGAGAAAAGCCAGAACCGAGAGGGCTCATAGGCGAGATAGCTTGCTTCCCATCACTGAGGACATGGGGCCGCCTCGTGCATGTGTCACAATTACTCTTTCTACTCTAAAAAACAAACAAACAACAACAACAGCAGCATTTGACGATTGATATTCGTCACTTGCTCAAAAGTAAAGATTCACACCTTGTGTTTGGCTTTTTCCACCTCAATAAACTTAACGTCTCCCTGAACATCCCTGGCCAGCTGCTCATCCAAAGTAGCATTGGTCTGTTTGACCCAAACCAGAAGCTCCTCTAAGGCCAGTTGGAACTGTCCTAGCTGTAACAGAGCACCTTCAATTGTCTGCTGCCTCTCACCGGAGTGAAGACACAAGTCATCCCATCGAGTGTTCAAATCCTCCAGCTGTGCCGCTATTAGATCTACGTCCTCCGGACGACACTGCTCACTAAGAATTGTACCCTTTTGGTTTACAGCTGTCACATCGCTTTGGAGTGGTGTAAGTTCCTTATGGAAGTCCTATAACAGAAGAAAGCTTTTTAGTTTTAGAGGCCACGAATACGGTAGTTTAACTTTTACAACAGAACCAAAAAATCCTCGGCATTAATTTTGCATTTGTGAAAAGCTTCTACATAAACTTGACTAGAAATTGGCAAATTTCAATTGCTCTAGGCTAAATTGTGATGATGATAGAAACATATCATTAGAGGACGTTCGTTAATTTAGCACAAAGAAGTTACCTTTTGCTCTTTAAGTTGTTCTTTGACGATATCCAACTCAGTTCCCACCGGCGGCTGCTCGGCCAGCCTTTGTTCTAGGTTAGTCAACTTAGCCAGCAAGGGGTCATGGGTATTGTGATACTGAGTAGCTGTTTCCTTGACTTCCGCCATGTCAGCTTCTCTCTTGTTCCAGGTCTTCTCGATGTCTGCCCACTGTTTGGTGACCTTGGAGAGTTCTGTTTGTACTAGCATCTTGTCGCCTGGACTACAGTGCGCTACAAGAACAGGACTGGTCTCACACAACACATTCACTGCTTCACTGTGTGCGTCCAGCTCTGTTCGAAGCTCCTAAATAAAAAAGACGAAACAACCAGAGATATTTAGAGGGGATGTCGCAAGAAGTTTATTACCGGTAGGTCCAAATATGCTATGCAGATCATGGGTAAGACTTCAAAGAAAAGAGTTCCCCATACCGTACAAAGATTACAGTCGGAGAAACCACGGAGAACACAAACTGAGACGTCACTGACTTGACATGGTTGATGGTTTGGTGTGACTGTGTTATTTGACGTCTCACGAAAAGAGACATGTTGGTGGTAAAAGTGAGATAGTTCAAAACAGTAGGAAGTAAGAGAATCCTACCTGATGATCGTGAATCTGCTCCTCCAGTACCTTTAGCTCAGCGGCCGGGGGTTCTTCGGAGTCCTGATGATCCTGCACGTCCTTGAGGATGTGCTTTATCTCATCTAAGCCCGTCCAAAATTTGTCCCCGGCATCGAGGGTCAGTTCTAGAGATTTGAGCCTGTCATCATACATGGTCTGCGTATCGGATGCAAGCGTGGAAACTTTCTTCATCTTGTCTTTCATGAGCAATGATGTTTTGGAATCTGGGTTGGCATTTACCACAGCAGTCGCTAGCGGTCTAATTTCTTCCACCATTTCCTTCTCTGGATCAAACTCACTTTGAAGTACCTGAACAATGAAAGATAGGAAAATTACACTTGGGTTGTGTATTACGACAGCCGATCAAAAACGGCTTTAATATTCCCGCTGCGCAATAAACAAACGCAACCTTTTGTGTCACATGTTTGAACACTGAGTTATGCCAAATTACCTTCAGCTCTTCAATCTGTTCACGAATTACATCTGGTCTCACACTGATCGGTTTCAGACTTCCAACGTCTTCTTTTCTCTTTTCTAACAGTGTCTGTAACTCGTCCAATCTGGTCTGCACTTCTTCTTCTTGTGCTAGGGTCATTCCGATCTTAATTCCTCGCTCCTCTGTCTGTAGCTGAAGTCGTTCGTAGCGCTCAACACAAGCTGCCACCTTTTGTTCAATTGAAGTGGATGCCTCACCTGGGCCGCTCAACTTAACAAGGTCGCTTCCAGTCTCTTCCAAATTGCCGATTAAAACTTTAAGGGCAGTGATACCCTCTTGGATTGACTGCAAAAGAAACCAAAGAACTCGTTCTTTCAATGAGGGAGTGAAATTGAAAACAGGTAAGACGCGTTTAGGTAGTGGTTGACGCGCTGGTTTTGTGCCCCCACGCAGGGCACTTAACTGTCTCGGGGGCCTCTTCTCCCTCCAGGAGCATGAATAGATACCAGTGAAATGAAATGTCGCAGGATTGCGCTTCCCCGTGCAAGCTGCACCACAGGAACTTTCCAAACTCGTGATCGTGCCTTCTTAGAGTCTAAAGGTTTTAAAGACAACGGAAATATCTCAGTAAAGCAAAAGAAAATTACCTTGATTCTCTCCTGTTGAAGTTCCGCAACCGATTCATCGTCCAGCTTACGGAAGTTTTCCTCGCAGCGATCAAGCCAAGTGACCACTTCTTTGTGAATGTCTCTGAACTGCTGAGACAGCAACAGAGCCTCTACTAAAGCTGCCTGCCTAACTGACGTGTCATTCTTTACACCCTGGTAGCGAGTCTTGATACTTTCGAGATCGTCTTTGATGGCTTGCTGTTCCTCATCCTTAAGTGCTGGTATCAGCGCCTCGCCGTTCTCGCACACAGATTTAACAGGTTTCTCATGGGCTGCAACGTCTGCGTTGAGGGCCTAGAAACAGAAAACGAGAAAATTGTATAAAAGATCGCCAACCCTTTCAACTCCAGAGGCGATGAGTACGTACAATTTCCTTACTATTTCAGTGCACTGTCCCGCAGAGAGGTAATGAGAATAAGGAAAATCACCCTCTCAACACGCTTACTCGTTAGAGAACTCCTAGGTTTACAAATAAAACCAGCGCTATTGTAAGAACTTCCGTGTTCAATTTACAAGACACATCTTATATTTTACAATTAATTTCGCTGTTTTCTTTAGCTTAATTTTTTTCCTTCATCACTCTAAGTAAGCGCGAGGGGGTATTGGAGGATCAGACTCTTCCGCACAGCCACGCAACCCGCCTGTGTTCCCAACTGTTGTTTGACTTGGCTCGACCCCCACAGGCTCCAAATTGGTCAGCTTTCCTTCAGTATCAGTGAGCCACGCCTTCAACTCGTTCACTTCAAGCTGGTAACTGTCTACACGAGCCTGAGATGAAAACAATTTCTTGGCCAGCTCGTCCACATCGGCTTGCAAAGAGCGCCACTTTTCGTCCACCTCGCTCTGTGCTTGATCTACTTTTGGTTTTTCTTCTTGGACGAGGTATTTCTTAAGGTCGTCTCCAAGTTCTTTACATGAAGAAAGATCTGGTTCCTTGGCCGACAAAGCCTTCTGGATTTCCTTTAACAAGATAAATAAGAATAATGAACCAATGTCTTCCTCTTCAGACTTTCGGCCACATTTTGCTACTCGTGCTATGCTCACGAGGCTGGACCCCTTTTACGTTGGGAAGAGATTATAATGTAGCTCCTTCCCTGTATTTCGATACATCATTTAGCAAACAGGTAAAGGGAAGAGACTTATGAGCCAGGAGTATTACATGGAATCCACTATCTTGTCACAAGACTTGGAAAAATTTTCAATTGAGTGTCGAGAGTAATCCAAGATAGTATTGGTTTTGCTGCACTTCGCTCTGGTCCAAAAACTCGCGCCATTCTCACTCTTTCTTGTGATTGGCCGATCTGATCACTTTGGCTCTGGATTTACGACATTCAATCGAAAAGCGCTCTATTAACAAGGATATGTTTGCTGTAGGGGCGAAGTTCTAATAAAATCTTGCGAGTTGAAGGGTAACCAAGGTACAAACATCTGTCTTTAGCCTCTCACACAGTGACGAAATTGTCGCCGTTTTGTAGAGAATATCACGTTACTCAACAAGCTGTGCACTTCTTTCTAAGTCAGCCCTGTAGCAGTAATGACAGTGCAAAGTTCATTGATACTAACCTGAAGTTTCTCCTGCTGAACAAACAAGCTGTGTTTACATACTCTCACCTAAACTAACTAGTTGGCTTATTGAGAGCGTGCGAACTATCTCAATTATTTTATAACCATCATTAGTTATAAAAGTGTGACTTGCAAAACCGAATTACAGTCACTTGGTTTTTTTTAGTAGTTTTGGCTTCGATCATGCAAATCACACCCGCTAGAAAATGAAAAGTTCACGAAGACAAGGAGTTTATTATCACGTAAAGATAGCTTAGCGTTAAAAAGAAGAGACTTAGGTTGTACTGTGATTGATCTTGTGATGAAAATCAAACCTCTCAAAGGGGTAAACACTGAAGCCTGACATTTTCTGTTGGAAAAAGAATAACACTTTTCATTTTCCATGTTCAATTACATCATGACTGATAAAAGTGTGACGTACGAAACCGAAATACTGTGGACTTATTGAGTGGTAGGGGGCGCAGCGAGGTCCTTTCTTCATGACCGTGAGCTTAATATTTTCCCCACTGGTCCCACCAAATTCTGTCAATAAGCATTTTATCATATGACCACTAACTGTTAAAAAATTTTAACGTAAATGGGACGCGATAGACGGGCATACGGGCACACAAAAAAATATGCAATTTAAAACTTTTCCTTTTATTTCGATTAGCCCCGAGGGGGAAAGGAATATCCTGAACACACGTGATCTGGATGCATTAAATACTGTGACAGCGGAAGTTCAGAAGGTTGGGAAAAGTAATTCGTTATTTTTGTTGTTTCATTTTGAAAGCATCAGCCACATTGTCAACATCTTGGTAAGTGCGATTGAAAATCTTTTCTAGTCACTCGGTTTTTATCAGCCTTAGTCATTTAGTAACTGTAGAGAGGTAAGGCTCTTATGGCAAAGCCCAGTACCTACTTTATCCCTTTATTATTTACTTTATCCAGTACCTGATCTTTATGTTTGCAATATGTTACGTTTCGAGTGTTAGCCCTTCGTTAAAGCGGTTGATGGCGCGATTGAATCGTCACCACAGTGAAATAAATTGATTCTACGGCGACTTTTTTAAATCTCTGTGGCTTTATACCGTATAATTTATCCTCATTAACTAAAACAAGGTTATTGAGTATCGTTCAATTTGAGAAATTGATGATCATAAAACTAGACTGTCCCACGCTGACATCATAGGAAATCCGTAGTGCTTCATTACGTGGTTTTCCAGAGGCTATGATCTGCACTGGCTATTAACTTGACACTTTTTTAGGAGAGTTTAACGATCGATTCAGAGATCGCGGTAGATTCCAATTGAATTTCCGTTTTCTACTTGTACACAAACGTTTCATGGTCGAGACACCATTCACTTAAATTTTTAGATACTAGCAGCGGGTTCTACGCTACATATTTTTCTAAACGCCGTAATCTGTTTTTTTGTCTGCTCAAGCGCTAGAGCCTCGCACAAGAAGATAAGTCATGACGCTGCGCGCTCACGAAGAGAGATGTTTTAATTTTCTGAGAGAAACTAAGACTTTCTTAAATTCAATGTTACTGCATACGTAGTATAGGCGTACTTTTCCGTTGATCGGATGCTTCATATCTCCACCGTTAAATGGCTTTCTTAAAACAGTTAAGGTTTCATACAATAAATTTCAACCAGAATTTAACTAAGATTGTTCAGCATTGTTTAGTTTGAGAAACTGATGGTTCCCACAATCACGTGATCAAAAACTAAAATCAATCCTATATTAAGACATATTTGTCATGCAGAATGTCCTTTACTGATGTCAACAGAGGCGGCCCAAGCTCACGCTCGAGAAAAAGCAAACGAGTAATTCATGAAAGCGTCACGCGTTGTGTGACTAGGTGTTAACTTACCAGAGTTGAACACGTCATAAGGAATTGTATGGGGAACGAAAGATGGTCGATTTGAAGTTATAAAAATGCGACGTACAAAACCGAAATAGATTCACTGCGGAGTAAACTACGGATCGGTTTTCCATATCAGTTCATGAAAAGTTGATTATCGCTCACAGATAGCTTACCGTTTATAGAAAGAAGTTTTGGTTCTGTTGGTATCGATCTTGTAATGAAATTTCAATTTTCGAAATGGATGGACACAGAAGCCTGACGTTTCCGGTTAAAAAAAGAATCAAATAATTTATTTTTATATGTTCAATTCTATCATTGGTCACAAAAGTGTGACGTACAAAACCGAAATTCATCCCCCACCTCTCCCTTCCTCAAAAGAAATATGAAAAACTATTAAGTATGTGATAACAAGTGATGTTCGAGCAAATTACTGATCCACTCCGTCCGTTTTCTTTTTTTTTTTTTTTTTTTTTTGTTTAGTATTGTGTTAATAAAAATAATGTTTCCCTGATAACAGGAGAGGATTGCAATGCAAACCTAACAGCAGAAGCCATGACACCTTTCATGAGCATCGCCTTACTTGTTGCTCAGTTCTTGCTCAACTCAGATCGCATTCAGAAAGCCATTGAGATATTCAGCGAATGTCTCCAAAAAGTGCTTGTCATCGCAACTGAAATTGGCGACAGAGAAGGGGAAGCATCATGTTATGAAAACCTAGGTACTGTGTTTAAGTCGCTTGGCCAATACGACAAGGCTGAAGAGTATCTCCAAAAAGCGCTTGTCATCACAACTGAAATTGGCGACAGACAAAAGGAAGCAAGGCTCATGTTCCAAAAAGGAAAACTGAAATTGGCGACTGTGTTTAAGTCAACTAACTATGGAAACCTAGGTAGTGTGTTTCTGTCCGTTGGCCAATACGACAAGGCTGAAGAGTATCTCCAAAAAGCGCTTGTCATCAAACTGAAATTGGCGACAGAGAAGGGAGGCAGGCAACTAGGTAGTGTGTTTCTATGGAAACCTAGGTATTGTGTTTAGGTCGGTTGGCCAATACGACAAGGCTGAAGAGTATCTCCAAAAAG